CACAGCAACTGCAATCCAATGGAGTGGTGGAGTGGCCGTTTTGGCGGTGGATTAATGTGGCATTCGATTATGTAAGTCGTGGCCTGTGGCAAGACACACTCGTAAATCAAATCGATATTTTGAAGAGTCTCCGCCTCAGCCTCTCAGACGACACATGTTCAGGGCTGGGTATGCGATGCCGACTTTGGTTAGATGACTATCAAAAACCACTTTGGCCGGAAATAGCATAATATTTGCTCACGCCAGCACAAACTCAAACTCCAACTGAAACGACAAACACAAACACAAGCACACACACACACACATACACACACACACACGTGGGGTCTGATTGCTTCCAAAAACGCGCTAAATGCTCGTGTCGCCAGCGTCACCATTCGCCCACCAACGGTCCATACACCTTCCCCGTGGAGACGGATGGATGGGGCACAGACACAGCCACAGACAACGCCAAAGTCGCGTGCGAGGGGGGGCGCACATAAAGCAAATATTTTTATGATATTTTATCATCTCTCGGGCTTTGGATTTGGTTTTTTGGTCGCCTTTTGAAATTCCGCTCACATGCGCCGCCTCCACACTAAAAATGCGCTGAGCCCTGATCCCTTGCCAACGTTACTGTAGGAAATGGATTTCTGGTTTATTTTCCATCCGCCGGGGCGGCGAAAAGGCAAAATCCCAAATTCTATTTGTTAAAGCAACCCCTACCCCACCCACTTTTGACAACCACTTATTGTTCAGCTCTAAGGTGTCCTCCGCCAGCAGCAAGCAGCTTCTGGCATACCTTTTCCCCATTTCCATCTTAGACATTTACCTGCTGTGGAAATCGATATCATTTACAGCATATGGTAAATGGAACGTTAACATATTTGATTTCCCTTCGGTGCATAGCAACCAAACTGGAACCCATTTTATCCTGATTTACTCAGCAGCTATCGGCTATAGCTGGTCCGCACAACTCCTGTTACGAATTAGCCAATGAGTCTGGATCCTAAATAATTAGCATGCCTTATCCTGCATCTAACTACCACTCAGAGCTCTGCTCTGGGTCTCTGACGGCTGCCACACTACAGGAAAAAAGCTGCAACAAGCACATGGCATGCATTAGCCTGACACACAGAGAGAATGTCCCACAGAATGTCACTCTGTCCCGCTCCGCTGTCAAGGGATGTGCAAAACTTCTCGCTATACGAGTATGAATAGTTTGCATTATCACAAAGTAGCCGCGCGTTAAGTCGACGACGCAGGGAAAACAATTTTTAATGCCTAATGAAAAACAATGCAGCAGTAGCAACAGCAACAGCAGCTCGGGGATGTGTAAAAACTTTCTCTGAAATGCAACTAAGGGGCGAAAAATTGGAGCAAAAACCAACAGACAAAAACTGAAACTGAAACAGAAGCAGAAGCAGAACAGAGCCCCCCAAACAGGAAGGCAAGCACGCACGTGGAGTACGACTGCCAGTATGAGTACTGCGGCTAAACGGGGAGGAGGGTAAATCGTAGGTAAACGGAGTGACTGGCGTATCTATTTGTTTTTGGCTGTTTAGAGCTAAAAAGTTTCCGGCTTTTTGTGTGCCATTCCTGTGGCGCGATTCGTACTCTGGCACCGGGTACTGCCGCTGTGGAGCGGTGCAGTAACAAACAGCAACAGCAAGCCCATTCAGTGGCTGCCAGTGCAAAAAGTGACAAAAGAAGCTGTCAGTTGTTGCGTTGCCAGCCAAAGTGAGCTAAAACAGTTGCGAAAAATGCAAGAAATGTTGCGCATACGTCCCCACGGGCGACATTGCGAAATTCAAAATATAATCCCCTTTTGATAAACCACAAAAATTAGCATGGAATTCAACTTGATAGGTGGATTCTCATATCTAAATGCGTTTCACCATAGAAATGTTGCAACATGTCTTCATAATGGGAATGAACTGCAGCTCTTGTTACTGGAAATGTTTCATATTCGATACTGATAAATTCTGTACAAAATCCCCTTTGATAAACCACAAAATTAGGGTAGATATTCAACTTGATGGGTTACTTGAGGAGTCGTTTAATATCGCCTCAAGGCCTGGCCTGACGTTGGTTTCATGTGCGAGAGACAATTATACAGTGGCCGAATAATGTCTTCGTGCTGCAGCTGCTTTTAACTTTATACACTGGAAAAATCAGTGACTTGGGAAACTTCAGTCTGAAAGTATCCAACAACAGCTGTCACTAACTACAGAAATAATGCGCAGATGGAGAAATTAGAAAAGTATAAAACTAAAGTCAATAAACTTATAAAGTAGAGTCTAGAAATCTTGTAGGCAGCTGCTGTATACGCATACATTATTCATACATTGTGTGTACGTACGTTTTGAGTGGAACGAGTGTCAGCATATTTTGAGCCTTCCTGTCGAATTAACCAAGAGGCGGATTTGGGTCGGGTTCGATGGTTGAGTAACAACAACCATGAGCCATGAGCCATATTAAGAGAGTTGTGCGACATTGAGCAATTATAAGCCAACGACAAGCAAAAACAACACCACGAAACGACAACAACAAGAGCACTAATGCCATGACACAAATTCCTAATCAATCTTCACGACTTATTCATGCACATAAACCTGAGCGACAAACAAGCGAACTGGAGAGCCGAACCCAAAGCTACCCCAAAGTGGGGTGGGTAAGGGTGGCGGGCGGTGGAGTGGAGGGTGCCTACTGCTACATACACATACGAGTATGTGTATATGTAGCTGAGGATCTGCGTGTGTGGCTGTTTGAGTTTTGCAATTACAACTTAAGCACACAATCATTATCATAATCCTTAATCGATATTATGGCTTACGACTGGCAGACACACATACCTACCGACACATATGCATGTACGTATACGTGTACGTGGTAAACTGAAGGGGCGGTGGTTCGATGTGTGTGTGTGTGCTCTGCTTTTAACCCACTTCCGTTGTCTGGCCTGTCTGTTGGTGGCTCGGCTCCTTCGTCTGGCTTTTGGTCTCTCACTTTGGCTTCTGCGTTGTCCGCATTTTTCTTGAAGCCAAAGCCAGAATGAGATGAGGGAAGCGCAAAAGCAAGATAATAATCCTTGTAAATGGATGAACCAGAAAGCTGCCTTGCCTGGGCACAGCCAACGGGTTTCGTTAATAGTTAAATTGCTGTTAACAAATTTAATGTCCTTTAAATTTATTAACAAGCAGCTGCCGTGGCTACTCTTTCGTTTGTTCACGGTTCACGGTATTAAATGATACAAACAAAAAAAAAGTGTGGATCATCCCAGAGACGCGACGCAGGGAAGCAGGAGCACCTGCTTAAAGTTGCCACCATCGTTGCCGGTGTCGACATATCTGCCAGGACGTCGTCAGGGATGCCTTACAAAGCGTTTAATGACGGTGGAAAATTTGATTTTCTTCCTCGACTGCTGATGGCCTGATGGCCTGACGACCACCACGGGCTGCGCTGCACAATGGTGCGTATGATTGTTATTGGGGCACAGGGGCGAAAGCGAGGGCGTAGGAGGTCCTGGGCGGTCCTGGCTGTTTGCGCTCTTGACGATGTCGTGAACGTGTTAAGTGGTTATTGGTTTAGCGCGATGGCTCCCTAAAGCAAGCGATATGCGATGGCCACTGGAGCAGCGACTCCCACTGATATTTGCATTAAAATTTGTTTATACTGCATATGAGGGCACTTGAAATGATCGGATGAATAAGTGAATGGCACACTAAAGTCGGAAGATTCTTTAAATCACAAAAAGATTAAAGCAAAAGGCATCTTTGCTGCACGTTCCGTAAGCTGAAAAGGAACAACTATAAAAATGAAAAACTGGGCTAGAAGCTGTCCTTTGCTAGTCGATGGTGAACACTTACAGACGCGAATGCCGAAGGGGGAGCACATAAACTGCCAATAGATGGCACTTGGTTTCGAAAAACGATTTACGACACCATGGCGACGCATAATTTGATACATGTGACGGGGCCTGAGTTGGGAAGTAGGTGCTTGGGGAGTGGGCAGTGGGGAGTGGGGAGTGGAGAGTGTGGTGGATGTCTGCCCCAATGACGCATCATTTATTACTTGGCACTCAACAAAAATTGTAAAACAGGAAACGGAAGCAGGGCACACGACAGCAAACGACAGACAAACGGCAGCCACTTTGAACGCGAATTAAAGTAATAAATTAGTTTGGGCGTGTGTCCTCGACATGACTCTGCACCACCACCACCACCACCGCCATCACCAGCCAGTAGCAGTAGCAGTAGCAACATGCTCCTTCAGTGCCTCACTGCCTCGGCCTCTGCCACTGGATCTGCTTGTGCCCACTCATATGCCTCCGTGTATGCTTGCCTCGCTTTGTGCCTTCTCATTTGATTTGAAAGCAACCCACCCACAAAGCCACAAAGCCACAAAGGCATACCAGAGAGGCAGAAATTTCCCTGTTTCCAGCAGGCTGCTCGCTCCGCTTTCCTTTCGTTTCCTTCTCCTCCTACGAGTGTCGATGTAGAGGCTTCTGCCTCTGCCTCTGTCTCTGTTGTGGCTTTTTCCACTAAATTGCTTTGCATTTTTAGCCCCCAACATATTTTTAGGCGTGCAACATTTTTCATAATGCCTTGACATTGGTTGGGATTGCTGCTGGGTGTGGGTATGTCGTATGTCGGTCTGTGGGTGTGTGGGTGTGTGGCCATGCCATACCAACATGGCAGAAAGAAAAGCCAAAGATAAACTGTCGTTGATATCTAAACTCAAACTTCTCGAACATTGGAATAGCCATCCCGCACCCGTACCCCACACACATTTCACGAGATAATCTTCTCCGTTTTTTTTCTTATGGCGTTTTCTTTTATGATATTTATATGCGCGATATTTATCTCAATCGTTGTTCCTTTTCTTTCCTGGCATAATTTTTGCGGTCTGACAGTTAATATATTGAAAAGGTTTCACAAATATGATAAAACACAAATAAATAAAGCAAAGTCCTTGAGTTTTATTGTATTTTATATGCTGTATGAAAATTTAAAACTTACCCAATTATCTCCTTAGACTCAGTTATCTCTTAACGTATCGTATTGATTATCTGAAACGAAAAATAAACATATATTTTGTGCATTAATTTACTTTATCCAAGCAGGTCCCAGGGAAGTTTTCCCACCACTTAAAGTGAAACACGAAAGACTCCGGCTCTGACTCTGGCTGTGGCACAGCATGGGTTGGGCTCCGTCCTGCACTTCAGCTCTGCCAATTTCTCTTTATTAAAATTTGCATTTTCACCTGCATAATTACTGAATATCCCAACAGCAACAACAGCGTGAGGTAGAGTCTATGAAAATAGCGAAATAATATGCTTACTTCCACGCTGCTAAACATAATGTCTGCCTCCTTCTTTGTTTTCACCTTTTTTGCTCTCGCTTCTGCGGAGCACAACTAAATATTACGCTTATTTTGACGTCAAAAAGCTTGTTGAGAAATTAAAAAAGCGGCAAATTCTGTGAAAAGGCGGAAAAAACTAAAGCGAAATGCAAATAGAAAAGCAGGAGAAAGAAACAGGAGGGCAAAGCGGAAGGGTACAGGGTAGAGAGAACGAGAGAAAAGGAAAGCCGCAGCCAAGATGGCGACGGGAAGCTCTGTAGGCGAAGAATATTTTCCAGTGCTTTTGTTGCATTTTTCTAACATGTTTTTTGTTGGCGTCTTTGTTTTTTTTTGTTGTTGTTGTTGTTGTTGTTGCTGTTTGCTCTGTTTTTTAATTTACTATGTTGTATTTTTAATAGCATAGACAGCTTTGCTTTTTGTACCCACACACATTTTCATGTTTTCCTCCACGCATAAGAATTTCCTCCGACCGTCTCTAAAAAGGTGGAAAATGGCGGTCGACCAACGAAATATTAAAAAGAAGAACTCAATCGTCTGCAGAAGCAGATGCAGAGGCAGAGGCATGAGGAGTTATAAAGAGTCGGCAGCAAAGCAGCACTTTTTGTTCCGTTGCGGCGGCGTATACGTAATACACAATACGTATACGTAATATTTTTTTGCCTGCTGTCTCTTTGCTTTCTCTGCGGCCTTTGCATTCATAACGCGGTCCGCGAGTTGCTAAAAAATCTTAATGAATTTGCATGAATGAATATTTGAAAAGCTGCTGCAGGCCATCAACAAAAAAATATTTGCATTCCCCGGACCAGTACCCGGCCCCGAAAAATAACAAGAAAGAAAGGCTAAATTCAGCGGGGCCGATGCTTTCTCATAAAAAAAAATAAATAAAAAACGTACGGAACAGGCAAAAAACAGATTTCCAGTGGCACAAAAATGCGAGCACACAAAGGCAAGCGAAAATTTATGAGCGCTAATATTATCAGCAGATTAGAAAGTAACTGGAAATTATGGCCCAGTTGTTGAATTTTTTTTTGCCCCGTTCAACGTTGGCGAGAAAGCATTTTGCATTTGCATTTGGCATCATCCATGTCGGGGCCATTGCATGCTCACTATCAATGGGGATTGGGCAGAGAACGAGTTGGATTTTTGGAGTACATTGCGATGTGTGTTTAAATTGCCCCAAATTGCATTTTAATGCTAATTGTGTGAGATTTATGGTTTTATGGCTTGGGGCGTGGCGCTCTCGCATTTATATTTCTATTTCTATTTGCTGCACATGTGGGGCAATTAATATTCATTGCATGTCCAGTCGCTCAATGGTCATTATCTGCGTGTGCTAGAAACTACTTAAAATTTGAGAAAAATTAACTTGGACTCGGCTTTATATTTTATTTTTGTTTTTGATTGTATTTAATGTTTTTACGAGTAAGAAATGAATATTGGCCAGCTCCTCCAATCGTCATTAGCGAAACCCTTTGTTTCGAAACTCCACAGTGGTGCTTTCCATCATTTTGTGAATGGCAAGATCCACCTCGTGCAGGCTCGAGGCTTCAACTAGGGCGAATCCTTCCAGAATTGGATGAGCGGGGGTATTAGAAGGCAAAGTCGGAACCGTGGTTGTAGTTGGTGCTATTTTTCCCTTGACAGGAGCTACGGGCGTAGGGGAAATTATTTCTCCCTTGATAGAAGCCGCGGGCGTAGTGGATATTATTTCTCCCTTGACAGGAGCTACAGGCGTAGTTGTTATCATTTCTGGCTTGGGAGTCTCCAGGAATTTCCAGATCGATCCATTGCCGTTGCTGACTACATCAGGTTTGAGGATAACAGTTTCATTGCCATGGCTGGAACGGCGATTCTTTTGAGTTTTCGCAGGAACTTTGGTAGTGTCGGTATGGTTGGCATGGATCTTGGGGTGAGGCTGGGTCTTGGTGTGGCCCTTGGAGTGGCTCTTGGGGTGTGGCTTGGCATGGGGCTTGGGATGAGTGTTCGATTCGATCTTTGAGTGGGGCTTGACGTGTGCTTTGGGATGGGTCTTTGGCTCGGTCTTGGCATGTGTCTTCGTGTGACTCTTGGTGTCCGTCTTTATGTGGTTTGTGGTGTCTGTCCTCGAATGAGCTTTAGAGAGCGTCTTGGAATGGACTTTGCTGTCCGTTTTAGAGTGCGATTTGGTGTCCGTTCTCGAATGGGTTTTGGTGTGCGCCTTCGGATGGGTTTTGGTCTCCGCCTTTGAGTGTGTTTTGCTGTTCGTCTTCGTCTCGGTCTTGGTGTCTGCCTTTGGCTTGGGTTTGGTGTGCGTCGTGGCCTCCGTCTCGCCGATGGGCATGTGATCGGACTTGCTCTCGGACTGTTCCGTGGTGGCTTTGGTGCTTGGTGTGGGTTTTGTGTCGATCACAGTAGGTGTATTGGCGGTGGTGGTCTTGATATCACCTTGGGTAGGGGTCGTATTTTCTGCCCTAGGAATTGCTGTTGTGTCGGCCTTTGCCTGGGGGCTGGTGGTGTCTGGTTGGGTGACCTTGATGTTAGTGGGTGTGGGCTTTGTGTCAATTTTAGTTGGGACATTGGTGCTGCTCTCCAATTCACTTTTCGTCGTTGTATTGTGTTCTGGCTTGGGGTTAGGTTTTGTGTCCGTCCTTGGGGTTGAGGCCTTGGGGTCGGGCTGAGGGGTCCTGATGTCAGGTTTGGCGGTAGGTTTTGCATCCATCTTGGTGGGGACCTTAGTATTCGTTTTAGTACTGGCGGTGGGTGGTTTTGCATCCATCTTTGTGGTGACCTTGATATTTGGTTTGTTTCTGGGGGTGGCTCTTGTGTCGATCTTTGTGGAAGCCTTGAAGTCGTGCTTAGGAGCCTTGGTGTCGGGCTTGGCGTGGGCCTTGGTGTCGTGCTTGGGAGCCTTGGAGTCAGGCTGGGCAGTGGATTTTACGGCGATCTTGTTGGTTGTCTTGGTCTGCTGCTTGGCGATTGGTTTGCTGCTGGGAGTTAGCTTTGTGTCGGTCTTTGCGGGGGTTTTAACCGCGGCCTTCAATTCATTCCCTGTCGTCGCTTTATATTCGTTTTTGGGCTTCGATTTCGTTTCCGCCTTTGTGGGGGCATTGATGGCCTTGCTCAAAGGCTTGGCAGTGGGTTTTCCGGCCATCTTGCTGGGGACCTTGGTGTTTTCTTTGGTGCTGGGAGTCGGTCGGTTTCTGTCCGTCTTTGTGGGGGTTTTCGTGGTGCCCTTCAGCTCATTCTTGCTTGTTGTCGTAAAAACGGAATGTTTGTCCGGCTTGCTGGGTATCTTTTTGTCGATCTTAGGGGGGGTCTTGGTGTCGGGAATCTTGGAGCCTTTGGTTGGTGAGGTGGTCCCGGACTTGGCTGGTCTGGTGGTGGTCAAGCGCTTCTTGGCTCTGGCTGCAGTTGTCGGCGGTGCTGTGGTGGTTGACAAGTGCCGGAAAAAGAAATGCATATGGGAAAGCGTCGTCGGTGGCTCCGACTTGACAGGAGCTTTGTTTGATTTCGCCGTCAGCGAAGCTTCGTCATTAGAAATATTCGCCTGGTGGAGCTCTTCAGTGCTGGCCCTCGGCAGGACCAAGCCGGCAAGGCAAAAGGTGACCAAAACAATGATAAGGAAGCGCATTTTGAATCCACTGCGATTGTACATTGCTTGGTGTTGTGGAGAGAACTGATTATCAGGTGCCGGAAACCAAACTTTTATACCAGCACACACGCAGTTGAGAGCGACTGTGAGAGTGACTCGTGCCTCGTGAATCTCTGGCAAAAATGATAATTGGAACAGAACAACTGTTTTCCCCAGCACAGAAGCCTCACTTAAAATAATGTGTTGTACTATCTATTCGGGGCACCTGTCTTCCGGCGCTTCTCTTCCGTATAAATACAGCGAATGATTTTACACAAATTCAGTTCCCCAGCAGCAGCAGCAGCAGACACAGCAGCAATATGAAATATCTAACCATCCTCAGCCTGATCGTTATTATAACGCTGTCCTCTCAGTATAAACACCAGCGACGTTTCAGGGGATCACGAACCACTGAAGACATTAACGCCTACTTATTTACCTCTGGACCCACGAAAAGCATCTTCATGGAAAGAGAAACCATGAATCTGGGCCCTGAAAGGGTGGCTAATCGCCGGCCGCGTGCCATTGATGTGCCTGTCATGAGTTTCCAGGGAGTGGCCTACGATCAGTTGCTAAATGACGCCCTCAGCACTACAACCACCACCACAACCACCACCACCACCACCACAACTACCACAGAGGCACCTAGCACCACCGTCAAAACCACCTCAAAAGCAGCTACAACTAAAAGAAAGCTAACCAAGAAAGCCGTAAAAGCATTCAAAAAGAAGGCGGCGAAGGTTGCAAAAAAACACTAGGATCATTTGAAAATTAAATATATACTAATCGAAGGTTGATATATCTAACGGAAATTTGTTTTTATATTCCTCTGGGTCAGTGTCTACAAAATATACTGAGTTCTCAGTCGTGCACCAGTAGAACGGAAGAAACTCCGGAAGAAATAACAAAGAACGAGATAATTTCTAAAACTCCAAGACTTAGCTCTGGGAGTATCAGAGTATTCATAATCCACTGAATATGATGCTCAAAACAACCCAGAAATTATTAGATATTTCAGACCCTTCACCCAGGGGTATATTTAAGATCCAATAAAGCACAATTAAAGCATTTTTTAAATCTCCATAGAAATGTCTACCGTTTGAGACAGGGAGATTTAAGAGCTCTACCTCTTGCACAGCTTTTGGCTCCTTGCGTTGAGCGGACAAAAGTTTGGACAACTTTTTGGCAGCCATGTTGCAGTTGTTTTTTCTCCATTTTTCCCGCGTCAGCTGTGTCAACATGAGCCAACAGTGAAAAGAACTTGAACTTGACGCTACCCAACGACGGAAGTGCATCAAGGAAGGGGTGAAGGGGCTTAAGGAACAGGAACCCATGCAGTCAGTTGAAGGTGAAAATGGGGCCAATGGCAGAGCCAACAGATGCGCACAATTTTTGCATGCCGGCGACTTCTGAATGGCATTTTGATGGCCGCTTAGGCACACCAAAGTATTTCACTCTCTCCCCCACCTCCTCACGCTCTGTCTCTCTCCCTCTCTCTCTATCTGAACTTGACACCTGACAGTCTGTTTAGTTTTTCCCAACAAACTTCGATAGCCGTCGGTGATGTCACGCCCCTCCTAATGGCAAACGTGTATCAAATATTCAAAATATGGGACTCTATATGTGTGTATGTATCTGCATGTGGGACTATCTATGTGCACATGTGTGTATTTTTATTTATATGCGAATGTGCGATTTTTGTCTGCCGCGCAATATATGAAATTCACTTTTAAACGCTAAATAATGCACCTGCAATTCTGTTCGTGGCGCCAATTTCATGCGCTAAATGAATTTATGAACAGTTTGTGACATATTTTACTATATAAATAAATATATGTATATGTATAAAGTACATGCTCGTACATATCTGCATTTTTGTTGCAATACACTCAGTTTTTTGCCTGAACATTTTTTCGTTGATTTAATCCAATATTCTTTCAAGTTTTTTTCAGCTACAATTTTATTGAAACATCACGGAAATATAAATATAAATGAAAATGAACTGAAACTTAAATTGGTATTTTCGTGAAAAATTAATTAAAAATCCCATTTTGTCTGCTGTTAATCGTTCATTTTGAATGTCACTTGCATAAACAGGAAACATATTTTAAGGAAGAATTCATCAAAAAGTTAACAAATATATACAAATAATTAAATTTATTATACTAAATAATAATCCTGAGAGATTTTGAGTTGATTTGAGGCATAAGAACTGCGGAATCTCAGCTGATGGAATATAATTATTTCATTTAGTAATTCACATGAGTAGTATTAATGGGAAAAGATGTCTCAAGTAATTAGTTAGTGGGTATTATTTATTTAATTGATATACATATCATAACACAACATTAGATAAGGAATTACATTATTAATTGGGAATATTTAAACAAACTAAAGAATTTAATTTCCCATTTGAAATGTCACTATGACAGTCACAAACAGAATCAGGGGCTGCAAGGCTCCCAGCATCGCTCCACTGCCAGCACACCCTTCCATCATATTGGGCATTGTTGAGGGGGTAGTGGAGGTGGTGGTGGTGGTTTTCAGGTTGCCAGAGCCGAATAGGAACAGGCTCTCTGGAGGTAGCATCACTTTGGTGGTTCGAATGTTCGTTGATGCAGCTGCTGTGATCCTCGAGGGGTGTGTGGGAGATCTGTGGGAGCCAGTGCCAAAGCCCAAGGAGAATGTGGATGTAGGTGTCTGCGGGGTTACGAACGTTGCCTTGAACAGCTGTTGGCGAGTATTATTAATGGTCTGTTGCTGCTGCTGCTGCTCCCCTGAGGTGGGCGAGTATCTTTTGTATCCAAACGGATCCGTCGTATTGTTCGATCCGAGCCGAGTGGTGTTCGTCCGAAAGTAATTTTTCACATCGAATTTCTGTGTTGGATTCTCATGGTGGAGACCGTTGTGCATTCGCGGGGAGGTACTTGACGTTGTACTGCTGCCTGGAGTGCTGTGTTTTTCCGTCAGGGAGCGGTTACCGGCGAGTCCTGGCTCTGGACTCTCGCTTGCCGTCACTTGCAATATGTCTGCGGTAACCAGAGCTCCCATAAGCGGAGAGAAAAGAACCAGAAATGCTACCAACTGCATCATTTGGCTGCTTCTATGGTACTGAGTGCTCTGGCCATTTTCTAGCCAGCTTTTTATAGCTGCAAGCTGCCGTATCCGTATCCCAGTCGAGACATCACCGGGTTTTAGTCATCTCACTTAGTCACAACATAAGACCAGAAGTCCGAAAATTAAAACAATTTCCTGTGCATGTCACGCATTGGTGCAGTACCTTTCCCCAGTCCAGCAGCCCAGATGGGCCTCTGACTAACAGCACAGCCGGGTTTTCGAATGTGTAAATAAAGGTACGGTTCTGTAGAGCAAGCCATGCACATTTTTTATGGCCTGAAGCACTTATCAATGCAACTGCCAATCTCAGGAGCAGCCAGGCGAGTCAGAGCAGGGCAGTGCAGTTCAGGATTGGGGCATGGTGATGGCGGGGGTAGAGTGCCACCACACATCGACAGCAGCAGCGAAGCGACCGCATTCTGGGCATCTGTAGCATAAAAACATTTCATGCTCCCTGCTGACACGAACAATTTTTTCAATTCATTAACTATTTTAGTCATAAATAATTGTGGCAGCGCAGCAACAACCACCAGAAACAGCCAACAGCAAATGCAAACAGCAGGACATGACTTTGCTTTCGCAATGATAAAACAGTTGCATGAAAGTATTACTCAATGTTGAACTCAATTAAGTGGCTACAGAGATATTCAGTTGATTGTGGCTTCACCCGTTATATGCCTCAGAGCGTAGCTATGCCTACTCTTTGATAGAATGTTACACATTCGCCAGCTTGCACATTCAGAATCGTTTTATATTAGCTTAAGCTTTTATTTTGCACAAATCTCTTCTAAGTCCCTCGATCTCTCATCGAGCAATACACGATTTAATACCAACCAATTCATATTTTGGCACTGCCAGAAACTAATCCCTAGACCCTACAACCCACAATTCACAACCCCCTGCCCTGCCAAACCTCCCCAGCGAATAGCTCAAATATTGAAAGCAAATACAACAAATAGCCCCAAAATTCATAGCAAAAGTCCAACACATACTCGCATAAATGTGCAATAAAAAACCTACAGCACAACAGCAAAAACAAAACAAAAACAATAATAAAGTAAAAATAAAAAAATAAAAAAGGAAGAGAATGAGGAAGAGAAGAGGGTAAAGAATTTGTGGAAAATATATTGCCACGTATATATTTTACATGGTCCTGTCGAAAAACATTTCCCGAAGCGTTAAAATTCATATAGGAAACACTCTGGCTCTGGCTCGTAAATGGAAAATATTTTGACACAGATTAAAAGCACCAACACACAGAAGGACAACACCAGCAACGGAATACAATGTTGTTCATCTAAATTTAAATGAAACGCGGATGCATTCGTTAGAATAACCCATAGCCAAACACACATTCCCATTCCCACTCCCACTCCGATCCCATTCGCCTTGGGGGCTGAATGCCGAGAGTTACGAGGAGTGGAAGCTGTGAGACCCTGTGTCGCACTGACCTAAATCAAACAAACGCTAATGCCCGATTTTCAGCGCCACAAAATTCTGTGGCTCCGGTTACGAGTTGGCTGGATCGGCTGGAGCTTCAACAATTCATATTTGTTGCATAAAGATGGGTTCCATTCCGAATTGGAATCTGAATGCGAATGCGAATGTGAATGCGAAAGCGAATGGGTGTAGGAAATGCAAAACAAAAGCGTATCGACAGAGGAACAGAGACCCGTGCAATGTAACCAGAGTCTGTCCCTTCCATCCTTACACCCTCTCAGAAGGTGGTTTGTCTTTTTCAATACCTCTTGCACTTGTATACGCTACATACGCTATGCAACTAAAATACGGAAAGTTAACCGATTTACTTCGGCATAGATCTATTAATGATTCTGTCAGACTATAACAGATTAAGCAAAATGGTTCCCTAGATACGTTAGAAGAGGGTATCTAACAGTCGCAACTGTAAGAGCACTTACACGATGGCTTCGAATTTCGCTTTCGACTCAATGATGTAGTTTTTACCGATGAATATTTATGAAAGGACGGAAAAGTATGTGAGTCTGGTCTGGGGTTTCTGCTTTCACAATAATGAATATGTGGTGATGCCTCCTCCAGCTGCGAAAGAAGAGAGAGTCAAGTGGAGAACCTCTCGCCTCCGACACGAACTAAAATGTTTGGCAAGAAATGTCAGAATCGAATAAAACCAAAATTCTGAATGCATGTTCAAATAATATACAATATTTCTATGTATTTATTATAGTGAAATATCCAGAGAGTATACAATATTATATTAATCTATTTAGAGATTCGCTGAAGGTGTCACTCCTCATCGGGTTCCGTGGTTTTCTCTTCGCCTTCATACACTTCTGTCGTTGTTGTCAGTCTTTTCCTTTTCTTCGCAGCTTCATTTCGTTGCCGCTTAGTCTTTCGTTTACGATTTTTTCCCTTCCTACGCGACTTTCTACCTTTCTTTCCGCTTGCTGCAGATTTGTTCACCCTCATTGTAGTGTCGTCAGATGATTCTTCTGACGGCTCTGTAGTCGTCTGATCATCATCATCATCGACAGGTTTCAGTTTGTCATGGAACCCTTTTGGAACTGATGGCCGATCGTAGGGAAACCTGTAAGTTGCTCCCTTGAAATCATGTGATCTAGATGCATGCGTTTGATGTTCGAATGGTTCCATCGCGTCCATCAGAGGCTGTTGATGCACTGACATTGGCGCCATTACATCCATTTGGCCCTCGTGTTCATCGTTCGGTTTGCTCGCATATTGGGAAATCTTAAGGTTCTGAAGTATGGGTTGGTCTTGGGTATTTACATTCCTCTCAATCGGATTATCGATCTGGAACCTACTGCCCCTGTCCTGATTTTGGAAAGAGCCCTCCTGATAATCTTTCTGATGATCGGATTGTCTTGGTATTTGCTTTAGTGGTTGTTGTTGTACCGATTGATTCCATTCAGCTATCGTCTTGTCATTGTACTGTCCCTTGGGGAGTCTGTGCTGGGTAACAGGCGGCCCGGCGTCATCGACGGGTTTGCTCGAATGTTGGAAGGGGCTGTCCTGGATAACCATATGGGGCTGACGATCGAATTTATTTATATTTCTTATTCTTTCATTTGGACTATCGTTTTGGAGCGATGGATTCGAGTCCTTCAACGTTCTGCCAATGTCCTGGGCCATTGAGAATTTGTTGTGTTGTCTGTCCATCGGATTATGGAAAGAACCCTCTTGATAATCCTGCTGATCGAATTGTCTTCTCCTCTCCGTTGCGTCCCCTTGCACCGATGGACTCCACTCAGCTATCGTCCTGCCACTGTACTGAGCCATGGAGCGTCGCTTTTGTTGAACTGGCGGCTCGTCCTCATCGCTCGAATGCTGCAACGAAATGTTCTCGGAAATCACATGACGCTGAGGATTGGATCGGCTTTGAATATATCTATTCCTTTCTGTTGGATTTTCGTTTTGAGGGGATGGATTCGAGTCCTTTATTGCTGTCCCACTGGGATGAGGTGGGAGTCTGCTTGGTGGATTATGCTCCTGACGATAGAGTTGGCTTTGGTTATCCACATTACTTTCTATTGGTCTGTCGTTTTCCACGGATGGTTCACTGTGGTTAGCTGTTGGCATTTTGCTATGCTGAATATGTGGGGCGAGGTTGTCGTGTGGATATTTCGGATAATTGAATGAATCCTGAGAATGTTTCTGATGATCGAATATTCTGGACATTTTCGTTGAATGTTGTTGCTCGACCGATGGATTCCAGTCTACAATCGTTTTGTCCTGACTGGTAATCGGATTATAACACTCCAGAAAATGCTGCTGTCGATTGAATTGCCTAGAGAATTTCATTCTCCGGTCCTTTTGATCCCCTTGGACCGATGGACTCCACTCAGTTATTGTCCTGCTACTGTACTGAGCCATGGGGGGTCTTTTTAGGTCATCTTTGGGCTCGTGGAATGTTGTTGGATGTTGGAAAGTATTGTCCTGGATCTCCGTGGGAGGCTGACGATTGGGTTGTCCTTGGAAATTTCGATTGCTTTTTAACGGATTATCGTTTGGAAGCGATGGATTCGAGTCTGTCAATGTCCTGCCACTGTCCTGCGTAGATGGGAGTCTTCTTTGTTGTTTGTTTATTGGATTACGGAACGAACTCTCCTGATAATGCTGCTGATGATCGGATGGCCTTGAAACGTCCGTTTCCCTATCCGTTTGATGATTTCGCTGCAGCCATGTATTAAAGTCCATTCTAGTCCTGCCCCTGTGCTGAGTTCCTTGGAGTTTTTTCTGTTTCACGGCTTGCGCGGTCTCAGCGATGGGTTTGCTCGGCTGTTGGGTAGGAAGTTCCACGGAGATCAAATGGTGGGGCTGAGCTTTGGATTGGCTTTGAATATCTATATTCCTTTCTGTTGTATGATTGTTTGGGACCGAATGATTCAAGTCTGTATTTTTCCTGCCGCTGTTCCGAGTTTTTTGGAAATATTTAAGAGTATCGGCGGGCCTGGCTTTAGCGATAGGTTTGCTTGAATGTTGAACAGAAGTGTTCTCTGAGCTCACATGGGGCTGAGGATTGGTCGGACGTGGGATATCTCTATGCCGTTCTGTTGCATGTTCGTTGTGGACCGCTGGATTCCTATGAGCTGTCCATTTTGGGTCTTTTGTGCTGGTAGCCATTGGATGTTCCTGTTGGACCGATGGATGCCTGTCAGTTCTGTCCTTGCCCTTACCTTGTGGTCTGTTATGTTGTGTCACAGGTTGGTCTATCTTCTTGCTGGGACGGTGAGAAGGCTTGTCCTGAATATCCACAGCCACATCCACATGGTGCTGACCATCGGCTTGTCTTGTGCTTGCCGTTGTATCATCTTTTTGAGCAGGTGTAGTCAACTCTTTCGTCGTTCTGTCACTTTGCTGATGGAAGTTTTTCGGAACTTTTTCCAGTCGAACGATGTGCCGGGGGTCCTCGTTTGACTTGGTCGAAGGCTGGCCGAAAGTGTCCTGCAAATCTGTTGAATTGTTTGCTACGGCTGCTTTGGCTGCAGCAGTCGCATAACCCTTCTGAATGAGTGGAGTTTCGGCATTGATTGACCTGTCTGTTTGGCCTGCTCGGATGTCAGGCGGCAATTTGGCTGTGGCTCCATCTGCAGCGACGGTGGGAGGCGAGCCCAAAACTACTGCCGCACAAATTGTTAGCAGTACAATGGCTTTCATTTGTATTTCGACTATAACACAAGGCTTACCGTGTGCGGGGTTTTATAGAGGACAGAAATCAAAAAATTCCAGCGACTCGTTCCAGCTGTGCAACAACTGTTTCGCTGGCCATGGCCATCGACATGGGATTAGGATGTTAGTATGTCTCTGCTCAAGATTTGCACTTTGAATTTATCAGAGTGCACTTTTGTTCTCCATCGGAAGTGGCAGTGGCAGTCTGTGTTTTTCGGCAGATTGCAGACTGACTCACGTCGCGCTACTACACAGAAGTCCCTCTCATTACGATGAACATTGCAGGTCTATGAGTCTGCGAAAAAGCATTCGCACTGGCACTCACTCGTATCTTCGAGTTGATTGAGGTATCCCTTCGCAGCCGCACTAACGACTACACTTAAGCAGCCCGAATAGCAACTTAAGCCGCTAACTAACTACCCAATTCTCATTAAACTTTTGCCATTACACTCGAAACTCAATTGCGAATCCAGACGCCGCCACAAGGGGGGTGGAGCGTCTCCGCCAAAGTAGCTGCTGCGGCTAAATGAGCACCGAAGAGGCGTGAAGAGTGAGGAGGTGGGGAAGGGAAAAGGGAGGAGAAACTAAAGAAACAGCCGGCATAAAAATTACAAATTAAAAAACGCTTGAAAATAATAATACTCGTAAGAAGAGCAAAAGAAATCGGGGAAATGGTATGGGTGGGGGTAGCGGTAAGGGTAAGAAGGGGGAAAGTAAAAAACTTTTTGCGGAGCAACAAAAGCTAATTAAGCCACGGCACACAGACAGACACACACTCACACACAGAGAACAACGCAGATATGGAAAAACAAATGGGGAAAATGGCAAATGAAAATGGGTAGAAAAACTAAAGTAAATTGAAAACTAGCAGAAAGGAAACGAACCGAACCGAACGGAAGAGAGAAGAAAGCTCAAGGAAGCTGTTAAATAGCTTAAATGGCGTTGAGCGTGTACGACATGTGTTTGAGATGCACCCCAGGATAGTGGAAGATACACAGATATGGGAATCTCTATGGGTTGTGCCGAGGGGGGAATGTGGTTGTGGATAAGATGGGGAGGACACGTACACGTACTCGTACTCGTGCGAGTGCGTGCGTGTGTGTGTGTGTGTATTCTTGCTCAAGTCGGCTTGCTGCCAGTCAAACAAATCCATTTTAAACCTTAAGCCTTGAGTAAACAACACGCACACGCATACATGGATGTCGCCCACTTTCTAGGGGCGTGCCAAGTAGCCGGCACAGCTGCTGCACAGCCCACCCACCGCCATTGCATTTTGTTTGTTGGGTGCATAACAGTACGAGGAACAGCAGCAGCAGCAGCAGGAAATTGAAATGAAATTGTAATCCCTATTCCTCAAGTGCCGGGAAGAGAAGGGTTAAGAGGCGCACACGTATGCATATTTATTTGTATTAGTTGTGTGTGTTCGTGTGTGTGTGTGTGTGTGCAGGTGGCAAGGGGAAACGGAAAACATTGCCGCACGGGGCGGTAGTCCCCACGCGGAAATGCAACCGCTAAGCAGACGCTTCCGGGCTGCCTACAATTGGACTTGACTCTTGTTTCTATACGCTTACACAGAGGGTATAACGGTTTCAGAAGATGTCTACCAAGCAAAGAAAACAAACATTTGCAACCCTTTGAATCAGAAACTACAATAAGCAGCCCAACTGTGGAGGCTTTGCACTTTCTCTTCTACTGTTTCTGCTGTGTCCCTTCCCAATTGAATACCGAACCACATCACCTGTCTGACGAATAGAATCTCCATATAAATGCACACAAATGATCTTTTTAATACGACTCCTGAGATTTGGTGTTTCCGAGGGTAATTCTTATTCGTAGTTGCCGTTTTGCGAGCTGTTTCCACTCTTGTTTTTTGCCATTGTCGTTAGCCTGCCAATGCGATTCGACAGACGTCTTGCAGCACATCCAACCAGCAAGGACCCAACGCTCTGAGGGCACTTTTGGCGCAAAGCTAACGCGAAGAAGGACGAGAATCCACGTCGTTCTCTCGTCGAGGGCGCCAATGTCGACGACTACCAGCGGATCCATGAACGAGGGAACGAGTAGGAGAAAAATTCAGTTGGCTGCCTTTTGGTGCGCTTTGTTTTAGTTTTAGTTTTTGCTGCCAACTTTGTTTATGTGTTTTTTACAACTTCCTGCCTTGTTTATGTCCCGGCGATGTCTGCACTTTTAATCGTCGTCGTCTGCTGCTGCTGCTGCTTCTTATTTGCTTCCGTTTGCCCCCTCATCCTCTGTTCCTTCTGCTCCTGCTGCTGTTGTGGCATTCAATTTTTTGCTTGCCTGCCCCTGCAGCAGGCAGCAGAGACTTTGCAACTACCAGACTGCAGACTGCAGACTGTAGACTGCAGACTGCATGTGTCGCTGACATGTCTAAGGAGCAGCAGGGTCCTGGCCGGGGTCCAAAGTGGCAGCTTCGATGCGCTGTGTTGCAATGCGATGCGGAGACACGAGAGGCAGATTGCGGCAGCAGGGGGCAGGGCAAAGACTTCTTAGCTTCTAGGGCAGCAAAAAAAAGTTTACAAGTAAATGTGACAATGAACAGACATAAACACGTTTTGGCTGCACAAACTGTTAAGCGGGGGTGACGAGCCGGATGAGCAGGATGGATTGTAGGCGGGGGGCACGGGCACACGGCACACAGCACACAGCACAATCTTCACAGTTTATCCAGAGTTGAGGGAGAACACACATGTACACATCTACACATGTACGTGTGCCTCAAATTGTTTATAGTCGTTGGTTTTTTTTGACATAATTTCAATCTATTATAAAGCTCCTTACCCCACGACAGAACGGCTGACTGACTGGCAGATTCAGGCAGAGCACAAAACGGCTACAGCATCGTTTCGGAATGTGTTGGAAAATATCCAATATGGATATTGGAAAATTCAAGCATAGAGTGGCGGAAATGGGGCTTTCACTTTTCATGTGTGGCAGAATGTTAGCGAGACAGAATGATCAGTTGGATTATATTTCCGGTTTCCGGAAACCTAAAACTGATCTCTAGCTTGAGGAGAAACGAACGAAACCTTCAGGTTTCAGCGACGCACTGCTTGTACCAAAGCTTCAGGTTTAGTGGATGAGCTGCTTGCAGGAGCAATTCAAGCAGCACTGCTTGAACCAAAAATTCAGGTTTAGTGGATGAACTGCTTGCAGGAGCAATACAAACAGCACTGCTTGAACCAAACATTCAGGTTTCAGGTTTGCCCGATGAAGGAAATGTACGATCATTTTCTTGTACGAAACGGAGGATATGGATCTGAATAGTAAGCGTAGAATGGCAATTTATTTTGTAATTCGTGAGTGGCTGCTGAAATCAGATCAAGTTGACTCAAAACCTCCTCGTGGTATCCTCCGGATGCTAGTAGTTCGAATTTATTTGGACTACTAGTAACTAATTTGAGCAGCCAAACAAGGGTAGCCCATCCCAGCTTAAAGGGTGTGGTGGGGAGGGGCAAATTATGTATACAAAATGTATTTAGATAAAGCATTCCATCTCTCCATTCAATGAGATTGAATCGCTGAAACCGAATCCGATGTCAGAATTTAAACACAAAATACACAAAGTAGATGGACTGCCTCCACTTCTCCGGCCAGACATCTTTAGTCTTCTTTTTGTGGGGCAGTGTTATTAGCCACTCACAAAGGGACTTTTCGCTGACGTATGAAAAATGCTACAACTGTTGTCAGTCTTTGTGTCCATCGGATCCCTCTTTGCAGTCAGTTCAGTCCCTTCATGTTCCTGCCACATGCCGCCTCGCTGCTCGTCTCATCCTCATCCTCGTTCTCGTTTTCGTTCTGTTTCTGTCAACAACAGTTGCTGCAACAGCTAGTAAGATGTCAACAATTTATACGCTTGCTTCTCGTGTTTATTAGCAACTGACAAAAGGGATAAGCGTTACCAGAAGGAGCCACGACAGAGGACTGAGGACTGTGTGGACATGGGACAGGGACTATAACTGGGTGCTTGGGATCGTTATGGGTGTGTGCAAACGAACGGACAACAGGGAGGAGAGCGTATGAGTGACCGGGATAGGGTGCCTTGCCTTAGTGCCGTGCGAAGCGACAACGTCTTTGTTGGACTCCAATTAGAAGATATCAACAGAAGGAGGAGCTGCGGGTACGGGTACAATGGCTTTCAACTTTACAATGTGTGTAATGGCTATTACCACGCCCACGCCCACACGCCCACACTCCACTGCCAGTCGTTCGTTTGCCCCTTCATTTTTGTATCATTCGCCTCGTCCTCGGCTCCACCACTGCCGCCGCCTGGCTACACTTTGCGCCAAAGTGTAATTGAAATGCACATTGAAACTTTGAGTATAATGCTCTTACAAGTTTTTCTTTTGCAAAACTATAAAATACATTTTATATGCATGTAGGTGAGGGGTGCAGCAGGGCAGCAGGGCAGGAGGCGAAAAGAACATAAGTAGAAATTATGTGCGCATAAGGATGATGCTGCTGACGGCATAAAAGTCAGCCTCCGACTAGGAGCCGTAGATGGAGCTGGAACGTTGAAAGTTGAAGTTTGGCAACACAGCAAATAGTAGTAGAAAGAGAAGCGGAAAATATGATTTAATAGAGGAGCTTCTCCGGCAATGATGATGCCATCGCTTGCTTGCCTTGTTGCCTTTCCACCCAACCTCCAAGTTCCGAGGGTAATTCTGTTAGCGAATAGTCTGGGGCCAGAACCGAGCGCCGAGGAGAAGTTTCTGCGGCTGGCCAGCGAAGCGACTGACAGCCAGCTGTCAAGTTCTGCGGCTTGCACAAAATTTAAATAAATTGATGAATGGCTGGAACGGGAGCGGAAGTGTGGATGTGGATGTGAATGCGGATGCGGAGATGTGGCCCCTAGATGTGGGATTGGGTATGGGTATGGAAGCGGAAGCGACTGCAACTGCAGATTGTAGTTTATTCGCCCCAGCCAGCCTCGGGCCAGCGCAGCGAGCAGTACATTTATGGAGGGAGGC